CTTATATGCATATATGCACAACCCATGGACACAGACAATAGTGTGGTGAAGGCCTGGAGGGGGGATGCAGGGTGAAGGGGATCAATGGGGGGAAAAGGGGACATTTGCAGTACTTTCTACAATAAAGATAAATTAAAACATTAAAAAACAAAAAAGAAATAAATTTGTGAGATTAGCCAGGTTTCCAAATACTGACATTAACTGTTGGTTCAGATCTTCAAAGGCCACTATTTTCCTTCCCAAGCTCCGCCACCCAACCCTCTTTAATTTTACCTGTTCCTAGTGCTGCACTAACTATAGGGTGGAATCCCAGATGCTTCCGGCAGCTGTGCATTATTAGTAAGAGATGGAGCTTTGTTATTAGATTGCATTTTATTATTTCCTTCAGCTCAACATGTACCTGATATTGAAGGGCTCTCCCTATGGATTTAGATTGAGACATACTGCGAATGAGGTGGTTTATTGTTTCTGTGGACCCAGTTTCCTTGCAGCCAGGTGAGAAATCCCAGCCTGTGCGGCGGAAGGACAGGCTGGCGTTGCCTTGCTCTGACTGCTAGTGCTGGCGTCCATGGCCCAAATGGCTGCTTTTGTTTGCATCACCGAGTGGCGCCTGAGGCAGGTGCTGTTCTTGTCCCGAGGAGGAGATCAGTAGGCATTTAGCACGGCTACCCTGGCCTCTTGGCACAGAGGGTCTAGTTTTCCATCGCCTCCTGGGGAAACAAATAGATTTCTCCTGTGGCCAGCTCTACGTACAAGTTAATGTCATATAAGGACGCACCTGGCTTCCACAGGCATGTGGATGGTTAGCTGGCCTTTAAGAGAGCATTAATGGGTTGCAAAGGGTTTACTTCTGAGCAGAGTGAGGGAGGCCTGATGCCAGTCTGCCTGCCAGTAGCTCACCAGCAGAAAGAAAGCCTAAGAATATTGCTGACAATACCACGCACTGCTGGTGTAGCAACACTGTGTTACGAAGCCTACACAGATTAACCAAGTGAAGCAAAAGCTGTCTGAAGACAACTAATAATAAACACACGTTATTAAAATGCAACCCCCAAGCAACGCGTCACCTTATCTGAAGCCTAGGGCTAAAGCTCCATTTTCTTTTTTGTCCCTCTTCTGTTCCCAGCATTTGGGAAGAAGCCAAGGGCATCGGGCACCTCACTGTGTGGTTTAGGATGTGCTCGCTCACGTGCCACAGAGCACAGGCCTTAAGGAAGAATTTAAGGCTCAGGAAAAAACCAGTTTGAATCTGGGCATCACTTCAACTAGAATCGGAGGACACTTGAGAGAAGGCAAAATGCTGGGTGGACGGATTTACCAAATTCCAGGTCTTTGATGTTGCAGTGGAAGACGACTTCTCCATTCACCGTGAGCTCTACCACATTCCAGTCTTCTATCTTCTCTAGAATGACCTGGTGTCCATCTGCAGCCAGCACAGCTGGGAAAGAAAGAAGAAAGAAAGGGATCTGGGTGACAGGATAGACTCCCGGTTAACACGACAGGCAGCTTTCTCCTGGGTGGCAGCCGCTGGCCTGCTCTTCAGCTGCTCACGGCTGTAACTCGACCCTCCTGGTGGGCACCTACCTGGTGCTGGCCCAGTGGGCCCTCACCTTTGCTGAGCATAGCCATAGACCTGAGCATTTTGAGATTGGTTGCGATTGGATACAGACCCCTACGACCTGTGAAAATATGAGCTTTCTCTAGGAAAAGTTTTTGAGGTTTCCTTATAGAAACAATACTCAATGTTTTAGGGAATTTGGGAAATTAGGTATCTTCTTACCCTGCTGATGGAAATATAAATTTGTCACCTTTCTGGAGGACAACTTGACAGTACATGATAAAAACCTTAAAAGCCTAAAAAAATTAGATTTAAAAAATTATTCTAATCTCTGGCTCAGGAAATTGTACTTATAAGAAAGCTTCCTAAGGGAAAAAAATAAAAAATATATAAGCAGATTTTTTTCAACGAGAGATTTTGTTCTGTAGTTTTACAATCGCAAAATACTGTGAATAACTTACATGCCCAATAATAAGAGGGTGACCAAGTAGATAGCGGTAAGTCCATAGGATGAGATTTTATTTGGATATTTCAAAAAGTGTTTATAAATTTTTAACAGCAAGAAAAATATTTGTAATATAAGCAAAAGTCAGTTTGCAGATAAACTATATATTCAATATTAATTAAAATATGTACATGTAAGAGAAAAAAAAGAAAATACCCAGTGATTATTAGAAAAAAGTGTTTTTTAAAAAGCACCTTGGGGACCTGCATTTTGCTTCTCACATTCAACAGCTCCTTCCTTAGAGAGCAGCTACAGAAGCCTGGTTCGGTTCATTCTCTGCCGGGGAAACGTGAGAGTGTGTGGGCTTAGCAGAAATGATGTGCCCTGAGCAGCCTGGAGCCCCAGTGTTTCCAGCATGTTTCCCCCCAGGTTTTTGGCGTGTTCACCTCCGACACCGGCGTTAGAGTTGGCCTGCCTCCTTTGGCAGTCTTCATGTGTCTGTGAGAATTTGAGTTAGGATGGAGAGAGAAATCAGATGGGGACATGTTTTTTAAAGTCTTAGCATTTCAATCAGTCTGACGTGGAGAAAAGCAGACAGTTTTGTCAGTTAATTGTATTTAATTACAGAGACAATTGCTTTTTCAAATTGTTGGCATGTCCACTTCACCTTTCAATCAGTTCAACAGCAGCAAGCCCCAACTGTGAACATTTTAATTGCGTGATTTTGATTTCACCTCTGGAAAGGAACTTCAGAAAGGAACTCAGCGAGGATCTCCATTAACAAGATAGCGCTCCTTGGGCACCCAGTGGTGGCCCTAATTGACTTTGCGTCAGCTAACCCACTCTCTACAGAACTCCTGCATCTTTCTGTTTGGCATAATTATGTTATTGTATCCCATTTAAATGTTTTGTTCTTAAATATCTTTGGAAGCAGGCACTCAGCTTGGACCAATGACTTGTTTAAATGAAGCAGACCACCCAGTTTGGAGCGGCCAGTGGTTCCTCTAGGAAGCACAGATCTCTACCAGCAGGGATTTCTGGGGATCACACACTCCCCCAGCAGCACCCTCTCAGGAGTGGGGAGGTGTAGCTGGAGAGGGAAAAGCTCCCAGTGGGTAGATAGGAGGCAATTCAGCCTCTGAGACCTTGGCTTTCCCTTTTCTGAATATGTTCATTGGAAATGTTGTTCAACTTGGTAGGAAAAATAGGGAACGAAACAGCTTCTCCACTCCCACTTATCCCCACCTCTGGGGGCTGGGGGCCAAGGCTTGGGATCTCTGGACAGGAAGGTGCAGGCGCTGTCTGGGGCTGGTCACAGTGAATGCAGTGTAAGTGAGGAGGGGTCTGCAGGGGACACCTTGGGCAGGTGTGCACCCTGCTGCTGCTGTGACCTTTTCCCTCCGGCCCTGTCTGACCAAGCCTCATGCAGCACGTGAGCTTGGGGCTTGTTTTATGAGAACAGTGGCACTCTTCATGGCAAGGTAGACCTAAGAAGCTGGATTTGATGTAATCAACCCACCCTATGGAAGCGGGGTCTGCATGAGAGGATGACGCCCAACAAGAACTCCTAAGAGATCAAATTACTCCTCCCTATAGCCTCTATATGGTCACAAAGCATAGGCTCTCGGGCATATGTCTCCCCCACTGACCACAACACCTTCTTAGTCCCCCAGGTGCCCGGGGTTAGTAAAGCTCATTGAACAAACAAGCTCATAATGGCGCTGGGCACCTCCAATGACTCTTTTGGACCCTGAGTGACCTAAGTCTGATTCTGGTTCAAGTGATAAGTCTCGGCGTCTAGGTCGTATATCACCCTCAGTATACCCATCCCTTCTCATCAGCCCAGGACGCGTTGAGCCCTGAGGGTGGCCAGAGCAGGCTTAAGGGCTATAACTCGAAGAAGCACCAGAGTTCCTGCAGCTCATCCAAATGCCACCTTCTCTACATGGAGGACCCATTTGTTCCTGGGAACTGCCATGGAGTTGTCTATTCAAAGAAAGGTCAGATAAATATACTCCCTGCAACAAAGTCTTTGCAAAGGCGGTGGCTAAACTCCAGCATAAATCAACCAGGAGCTGTAAGGCCACCCGCAGAACGCCTGCTTCTTTGAAGTGGCGCCTCATTCGTCAAGTGGGATCAGGGTAAACTGAAGGGACACGGAAAAGCCTCCCTGTTCTCAGTGCCGGGGGAACCGTGCACCATCTGTGAATGATTTAAACGCTGCTGGCTGGGAAGTCAGGCAAACCAACCGGCAAGCACCTCCCCGTCTCTGCTCCGCACAGAGGCAGCGCTGAGGGCCGTTAATGCGTGTGGCTCATGCACAGCTG